CTATGTGTAGCCTATCTATGCCTAAGCTAGAATGTCGATCGACTTCGTAATCGGCTGCTTTTGTAAAATGCCTGTTCGAAAGCTTTGAAAGTTCGAATTCCTTGGCTCTGCGATCGACTTTCCATTTTGAATATTCACGTACTATCGTGCCATCCTGCACGTGCTGGTAAAGTTCAACGGCGCACATTTAAATGTACTGTGATCAACATCTATATTAGGTATTGATATTCAGTGAAACAGGATGAAATTTCGATGTATATGTAACAATATCAAAGTGAATTTGCGTTACAGAAACTTAACATGTTACAAGTTTTATTCTTTGTTTGAAAGCATTGAACTTCTGTATTTCAATATCGGTTGCTGTTATAAAAGAGTTTAATCTTTTATACGACACTTGTATCACCTTAACTTTGAAAACTTTATTTTACTACTTTTCTCGAGAATTATTTCTAGTACATTGCGTTCTTCGTTTTCCAAAAAGCCAATATATTATTGCATTATATTTTGTTTGATTCTACAAGTATATTTATAAAAGAAACTGAAGCACTGTTTTTATAGTTCAGTTCAAATGAAATATGTGTAGCTAAAACACTTCATGATGCCGTAAAACGCTTATTAAGTTATCATTCCGTAAATGGGTAAGTATCAATTAAACAGCAATTAATATTAAGTAGATGGTAACTCGTGGTATTTAAAAATTTAACAGTTAGGAAGATGATTTGAAGCGTACGGTTTGCAATGTAACGTTATAACAGACCTGTCTCCTAACTAATGTTCTCTGCACAATGCATTTGCTGTCTCATTCATACATCTTCCAATTGTTTTCTGTAACTATATATTTCAAAGTCGTGGTAACAGAGTGCACCAGTGAATCTGTAAAAATGTCTCGAGACAATGCTAAGAGACAATACCCTGCTTTAAGAGATTACATCTGTTTGAACGCTTGAAAAAGGTGACAATTTTCAAGATTTTTTTCTGACTTTACCGTTTGATGGAATTTTTTTATTTTTTAACCATACTTACAAAGCGCGTTGACAAAGCAAACAAAAAAGTTTGACTCAAAAATAAGAATTTTCTTAAAAGTTATGGGCGTTGTTCTGCAACTCCGCTTATCATCACATGGCTCGGCAGTGAGCGTCCTAGGGGATATATTATTACATTACCTATAAAATAAAAAAATGAAAGTTTTTCTTATTAATAATAATATCATGTTTAAAATGTCGATATTCTGCGAGCAATACTTTCACTTAAATCTGCATCAAAAATTCATACAACGATGTGAATAATTATAGGATAAAAGCAATCTTTACCGAGTAATCTTCTCTAATTAAGAAAGCAGGATATGAAAGATAATTATTTTTTACAGCTTTTAGAATGTATTGTCATCTGAGTATATACCAAACTATCTACCATAAAACCATTCGATAGAGCTGTGAATAAGTAATAGCCTTCGTCTAAAAAGAGAAAGACTCATTGTTGCTTTCATTATACAAATTATAAACAATATCCAACGCTGAGAACTTTCAAAAATGTAGCAGCAGCGAATGCTGGACCTGCAGCTTGATAGAATGACGTAGCGGGAAATTGCAAGTGTTTTATGCAGATCTCGGAACGTAGCTAGTAATTTTTTGAGGAAAGGAAAGGAAAATTATAGATAGAAGAGGCGATCCAGTAGACCGTCAAAGTTTTCTCTTACCATTAAACAAGCAGTTAAGAGAAATTTCGCGGATAGGAGCTTCATCGTCACAAATACTGTAACAATTTCAAGTAGAATGTGATTCAAGCTCAATAAATGGATTGGCAAGCACAAAGATCTCTCTTCGTTAGGCATTGCTTAACCCTTTCGCTACGACGTGCTTCAGATAAAAAGTATAATAGAAAAAATAAAGATACGTAAGTAACAGTGAAAATCAACAGTTTCATGTTAGTCAAATGTCGGGCGTAGTCAGGTGTTGCTTGTCTTTCAGTCGACAGGGATATTTTATTCATGAAGTGTGAAAATAAATGAATAAACTGTAAGTATTGGATGGGCGTATGTGTACGCTCTTCGTGAATGTATGACCACTTTTACGGAGCGCATGTACGCGCTTTTCGTAGCGAAAGGGTTACATACAATTTATAATATAAATATACTACGATTTTTATTTATACCTCACAGTGATATACGTTAATCCTTTGTTTACTAAATAGACAATAGGATAACGCTTTTATTATGCCATTGCATCGCTACAATTGGGAACTCGTACGTTCACTATTAGCGCGCTTGAATGAAAACTACAAACTATTGAATATTGTATACATCTTTTCCATGAAGCGATTTACTTAGAATACTGAATTAGACGAACGAAGAAACTGTGAATGACTATCATAAATACAAGAAAACTGTGTGGTAGTTGTTCAGTATTCTTCTCTATAAAACGGTAGAAACGTAAACGTGCTGCTTGGCACTTTCCCAACGTATTCTCGCAAGCAGCCGTGACACTCAAACACTTAATTACTTCATTACAACAGTTCCTCTATTTAATGTTACTTGAACTTGCACAGTACATTTTACAACAGTGCACTCTTATCGAGCAGAATACGTCGATGCAAAGAAAAAAAAACAATTTAACATTAATTTTCATTGTTACAAACAATTTTGCGGCAAGTTCCCTTTACAAATATCCACTGATCCAGATTCACCTCCTAAAGCCATGACAATTACTTTTTTTTAGACATAGTACATCATTTATCATGTTCAAAATATTATTTTCTAATCAATAGGCAATCTGAAAATTTTCTTATCAATTTTATTGTCGTTCATTTTAATCTTTACATGAAACTAAGGCGTCACAGAGACCTTCTTACGACATATATAATTCTTCGATGATAATTTACTCTCGTTGGCTGGAAAAAAGAAAGAAAAATTGGCGATGTCGATTAACAGGTGTCGGATCAGGATTAACCTACTTAGATCGTTCACGCGGACGAGCGCGGCAAAAGGGACGATCTCGTTTCGACACCGTGTGTGCGTGGAGAAGTTACCGTGATCGAGGCAATGCCAGTTAGTGCCGATAAAATTCTCACGTTACGGTACAGTAAAACTACCGCAAGCCCGGTAACTTCTTCGCGAACGCGCAGCGCTTGGCGTGCAGAAAAGTTTGCGCATCTGCGTGTCGAGGACGGCTGTTCACCTGTGCAACTCTTTGCCTCGTGCACGGCCTTCTTTTTATTTAATGGGAATGGCAATGAGCCGCGGAGATTTTCTCAGAGCCTTCGCCTCCTCTCCGCCGCTACTTTTTTCGTCCTTCGACGACGATGACAAGCCGGCTAGCCGTGAGTATGATTGGAAATAACATGTCATTGAGGAATCGTCGATGTTACGGTGAATCAGCATCGCGATTAGGCTCGCTTCGAACGGACTTGTTTGTTCATCTTTAACGAGAAGATGTATCGAAGAATACACGAGGGCTGCTATGTAGATATGAATTTCTATGTAATTAAATGTACGGAGTACTTGTCAGTATGTGGGACAATGCAATTAAAAATGTTAAGTAGATTAGGGCATGAAATTGAGCCTGTATTATTCTGCTGTGACGCAGCACATGCGGTCCAGGATGTATTGTTCAGCGTGCTATCGATTTTCTGGTGGCAGCGTACATGTTATTACTTTTGAAATTGTTAACGAGGAAAGAATTCGAATGTCGTGGTGGAATATTATTTGCAGAGATTTCGATGTTAGCCTCGGCTGTTTTTCAGTAAAATATTAAACATTTGCAATGGTAATGATGTACAAGTAAGGACGCAACGTGAACATAAAGTTTTCATTACTATACATTAGTATTTTTGGCATTGACATTCTTCGTGGAAATGCTTCATAAATTATAAATTGAAATTATATATAATAAATTGAGCTTTTTCAAAAATATATGTATAATGCCACCGAAGAAACTGAAATTCCTGTAAGAAATACTACGTGTAATCATTTAAAAAACACTCAAGCCTCACATTTTCCATATGCTTTGTATTATTAATAAATGGAAAAAAAATAATTGTACACTTACGCTTAAATGAAATCATCTGATAAAACAAGCTAAAAATATGAGACTGAAGAATGATTACGTTAATTACTATAATCAACGTTAACTTTGTTTGAGTTGTATCTATATATCTACTGTTATCAATTATAGATTTAACGTAATCGATAAATATTTTAATCACCCGACAATCTTCAGATTCAGATCAGGTTTAATCAGTTTTAACGTAGTTATATGTAGTTGAATCTGGAAATTACATATGAGTTAATATGTGACGATTTGCGCATCGTGAGCACGTGTTATGAGTACCGTAATTGGGGAGGGGCACTTTGCAATGCATAGCGTTAAGCACAGTTCGCGACTAGGAATGCAATAAACCGCACAAGGGATGCGCAAGAAGTAACTAATCTACGCTTCCTGTCGCGTGTCTTGTGGTTTATTTTTTTTTTTTTCAGTGGTTCAACAAGAATCTGTGGGAGAATCTTGAAACTGGTTCTCTCTTTTGTTAAACGTTCAAACCATTAACTGAATACTTCTTCTAAAAAAAATTTCAACATTAAAAAATGTAATACTGAGATTTAATTAATAATGAAAGAAAGATTCGTGTAAATATTTACAAAAACTAAAGAATTTTGTAATATAAATAATTAAAATACTACGTCCAAAATTTTCTTGAAAAAATACGTATAGGTAATTCATGCGTCAAATTCAGTTTTTAGGTTAATTAAAAGATTTAGTTCATTCTAATATAGCGTGTAAAACATTAACATTGGTAACAAAGTTAATGTGCTACATTTCTATTTTCTAAAAATCTCTTCCCCTATTACACCTCAAAAATCCTGAAAACTTCAAACCATTTGTACGAGGATACTTTTTTTTAACAGACACTGTCTTTCTTCTATAAGTTTATGTCAAATTGTTTCATTTCTATCAGCGAGTTGTACCTTAATAAAAGGAAATGTTCTTTTTTTATTTTTGTTACAGTTTTAAATGTTGCTGGAGGCAAAGCACCAATGCAATCAAGCAGCTCGGAAGGTGGCATTCCACAACGTGCTGTTGACGGTAGCAGTGGACAAATTTACACCCCTCAAACGTGCACCCTCACGAGACCAGAACACAGGCCATGGTGGTACGTGAACTTACTCGAACCGTACATGGTGCAGCTTGTGCGACTAGACTTTGGCAAACCATGCTGTGGTAAGTAACATTAAAATCACTTTTTTCGTACAATACTTATTAATAATTCTTCTTTGTGCAATGGTGAATTGCTTATTTCATGTTATAATAAATTTATAGTAAATTTGGCATTAAATAGATATGAATTTAGATTACCTTACGCGTGTATATATATTTTTTTTGAAAAAATATTTCATGAAAGTGTCATGCTTTGTTCAATAATCTAGGGCCAAGTCTTTTAGCATTTGTAAATTGTTAATTCTACGAAAATGAAATATCAGATTCTTATATCTAAGAACTGAGTTATAATAAGTTTTACTTCCCTTTGTTCAGTTCGTTAAATTTTTGAAAATAATTATAGTAGGTTATCTATCAAATTTGCAAATTACAACAGAAGCTATGACATGATATAAAACATATTCTACTTTTGTTACGTTAGAAATAGATCTTGCAATTTTTAATAGTATATTATTTGATAAATATTATTATAACTATTCCATGCAATAAAATGTATTTATGTTCTTCACGTTAAAGTTTTTCTTGACTTTTGAATTACACTTGTACGGTAGAAGGATTTTATAAAAAGTGAGAGAAAGTTTCTACAGAAATATGTAGCATATATGTATGTAGTAGTTTATTATTTAATTCAATGTTTTCTCTTTTACAATTTCATAAACCTAAATTCATAGTAATACTTTTATTAGGTTGAAGTATATAAAAAGTTTCGTCAAATCTTCCATCTTATTCACCCTTTGAAACTATAAAAACCAATACTTTACATATTACTTGTCAACATCTATTTAAAAAAGTTTGCACGTTTCGTTCAAGCGAATCACACGAATTACCCAATTCTCATAATTGTTTTATCAAATACTACAAATTTTTCATACGTTTATAAGCATATCTATCAATTATTTAAAAACAGACCGAGTTTCTAATTTCGTTTTCATGGTGAGTTAGTAATATTTGCAAATTAATAAGCCTCCGTTCGCGGAGCCGGTGAAAAGTGAACGAGGCTGCTTAGGAATACATAAAACGCGTTGATAAATTGTCGGTGAAACCGGGGCAGAAGGCGTAAAGTGGCCGAGTTTTACGCGATCCACTGGACAGAGTTTTTAGTTCTTCTAATACAGTGGAACGCCACTTTCATTTCAATGACGTGGTCTCCTGGCTTTCTATCGATAAGGTAGCATCGTTGCCAATTATGGGGTAATAAAATGTTCCCGATCCAGTAAGTACTTAGGAGGACAGCGTAATAACGAACAAAGCGAGCATGAAATGCACCGTTAGTATAAACACTGGATCGACACTTTCATTCATGCCGATACTGATTTCTATCTTTGCTACAATTCCCAAGCTATCGCACCCTGCCTCAGGCGTAACGATCGAATCTCGTCAAATTGACGGGTATCGCTAGGAAATGGAATTGAAATATTACGAATATACATCTGTTAATGTTGAGGTATACGAAATTGCGACGTGATTGACGCATGAAAAGACGAAAGGAAAGAATTTGTACCGAGCATTCTATCTGCGCTTATGGGAAACACTTGGCGTTCGTTAGAAAAAGTCCGTGCCACGAAGAAAACAGTAGATAGTCGTGAGACGCCAAAGAAGCAACATGCTGTGTAGTCTAAGTCGCACATCTATGTATTTTATATTACGAGAAAAAACAAGTCATTATCGTTCTTATAATGAACAAAAAAAATGTGGTCCTTCGAGCCGGATATCAAGCCATCGGGGATAACACAGCAAAAGACTAGATTCCTTGCGGCACAATGCAATTCGCTATGATAATTGGCGATGATCGTTTCCTTGCTGCCTGATCATCCACGATCGAAAATGGCGGAATCATTGGTCGTATAATCTTACGCGATCCCATCAAGGTTTAAAGTTAGCGTGAAAGTTTAATGCATTGACAAGTCAACGTATGTCGCAAAGTAGAGTGTTTCTTCTTTATCGTCAGAGCTCTGTGTTCATAGATCATCTGTGATACTGGATGATATTTTGTTTCGTCTGATCCATGTTTGAAAATCTTGTACGATAGAGCAGCATCTGAATTGAGCGTCAATGCTCGTTCATCGTCAAACTCAAAGTTCACTAATTGTAAGTAAACTGTACTACGCAGAGATGAGAAGTTGGCTAACGTAAGAAATGCGAGTCTGATTGGGTTATATCCTCATAGGCCTCCATAGACATAGGGCTAACATAAGGAATCCGGGTCTGATTGGGTTATATCCCTATAGACCCCCATAAAAATATTGTCATTATTGACGAATCGGCTCATTTGAAATTGCGTGACGTGAGACTTAGGCGGTGTGAGTGAAGTGCTCTTCTTTCCCCTGCGCCGTCTCGCTGGCCATCTTCTCATCCCTGCATGGTACTCATATCCCGGGTTCCGGGATGAAAAGAGCACTCTTTCTAAGCAAGAGTCGCACGTGTCAAGCGTGAGCCATGCGACTACTTGACACAGGAAGTGAATGAATAGGTCATCGTCACATGTAACCAACGTGCAGAGTGCGAAGAGAAACAGTCGCAGTGACTTGCTTCTGCCTTTCCGAGCAAGGTGTATGGTTAACAGCACGTACAACGCTTGTTCGTATGTATGCGCGCTATATTCGCGTATGTATGTGCTTCTCGTGATAATGGTCGATTAAAGAATCGATTTATTTTACTCCATATCTGAGTTAAGGTCTCACCAGAAGTGACTATGCTCTTTGAGGACATTCACCAGATCATCTTTTGGTCCGCGTCGTCTCTTCAGATCTTTTTCATATGTCGGCCTACTAACGAGTAAACCAACGCTTGCTCTTTAAATTTTTCTTCGCTAGATCGCTGGTCTGTTTCAAGATTGCTTCGTTTTCTTTTGAGTTTAAGTGGGTACACCGCTTTGAGGCTTTTACAAATAGGTAAATGTTTGGGAATTTTTTCTATAGGTAACTACTGAATGAAAAGTTTTAATTTTTTCAGAGGATATAAATGTAACTTTCAATTTCTTTCTCTAATTTTTAAAAGGTAAAAATGATACAAAATGGAGGAGTTATTCGCTCATTGCGAAACCTCTTCTGCTGGAACGTCGATTGCTGGCAGCCATTGAGATAGGATCGTCAAAAATAAAAAATTCTGTTTGATTTATAAATAAAAATGTATTATCTATATTGTAGGGTAAGATGTAATTATTATAAAAATGGTGACAGTTTAAAGAGGAAAAACCTCTTTTTACCTAAAAGAAATCAACTTTAAACGTTTCTGTAGTCAATTTTTCACATGAATTTATAAAAATTTGGTTCTGAAAGTATTACAGTACATCACGAATACAAATATTTCTTGTTAGAGTGTAAAACTGTTAATATCATCTTTTATTCTTGCTTCTTTATAAACACTATATTCGTCATATTACGAACACTATAAAACTGAAAAGATGTTAATAAAAGTCTTCATTACGCACTTTTATTCACGTAAATTAGAGATGACACGTAAAATCAGGGCGAAACGAACGTGTTAATTTCGGTGGCAAAGGGTAAAAAGAAGCAGAATTCGTTGAATGAAAATATCGTCAGCATCACTACCATTTAAAACCAATCGAATGTACGCATAAAGGGTAAATTGAATGAAGTGTGCCACCGTTTTCTAGCGATCAAAAGTGAAAAGACTCTCACTTTTATCCTGGAAAGTTTCTAAAAGTTTTCGCGTGCAAACAAAACTTTATACTCAACAATAGAGCAGTAAAGAAAAAAAGAAGAGAATTAAGATGATGTACGAATTTGTGAGCGAATTTTATGTCCCATTTAAGAGACACCATATTCTGCATTTCAGTTAATTACTATTGACACACTTTTCATGTAGAAAGTACCGGTTAATTATTGCAAACTTTGTATACTTTTACTTAGCATCCTGACTTTGTAAAATGTGATTCAATATTTATTATGTACAAGTGGAATTGAATTTTCAAAATATTATATGGTAAGGGTTACGTTTGAAAAATATTGGATTTTCTTTTTTATATATCTGTTTCATCATTGCTTGAATTATATACTTATCGTAAACTTTGTATCTTTTTAAGAAGATTAAGAAAATTTATTCGTGAATAATAATAATTAACGGAAAGTAAAAGTCTAAATCTTTCATGTATGAAAAAATTAATATCAGAAAGGATACAATTTATTATTTATACTTTTCTAGAAATTTTGTGGCTTTATACAAAGCTACTATAACAAAAAATTACGAATTAAACGCAGTAAATTAAAGTGTCATTTTTTGATAAAAATTACTTGTTTCCACAACAGCATATTTTAATTATTGGTAGAATGTACATATGTGTATATCATCTAAAAAATACTTTTATATTGATTTTATATTGTATTGAAATATATTATATTCAATGTAATACATGGAACATTTCTATCGAAGTGATATTGCATAACATTTTTTAATTTTAGTTTAATGAATCTTATTTCAGTCGATCTTGCATATCGCAATTCAAACTATGCAAGTCTATAAATTTCAGTATATCTCTGAATTATTTAATCAAAATTTCTAAAACTTTTTCTCAGCACATTTAATTTCTCATTTCTTTTACAAATTTAACAGCATCATCTAACGAACGTCTATTAATAAATTATTTCTAGGTATCTGTTATAATGTTGCTAGAAATGTCTTTTAGAACGAGTCATTAAGTATTTACGATTCCACTTATTTTTCCTTTGCGTTCCAAGTTCCGCAATTTTGTCGCAGTTGGGAATAGATTTACTTAAAATTAAACCTAACTGCGGTCTATATAAACGATCAAACAAGGGAAAACTTTCACCGTTAAACAAAATGCCTGATAATAACAGTAAGCGTGCTGTTTATACGGAAATAAAGAGAGAGTATTCTGTTATTCATGGAAGGAATTTGCTACTCTCTTCCTTAAAAAATAATTTTGCATCCTTTCACGAGGCAACAGTCCGTGCATTAGAAATGTTGCATTGCATTATCAATGATCAAAGGTAATTTGTGAAATTTTTCGAAATTTCAAATGAAAATTCTTCAAAAAATTCGTAAAATAAGAGTGTATCATTAATTTGAAACACAGTGAATCTCATTTCCTGCGAATACTAAAAATTAACGAACACTTTTCATTATTATTATCTACCACTGTTCACCACTATTAATTTCCACCAGTGCTGACACTTTTCACCACTATTAATTTCCATCACTGTCACCACAAATATACAATTTATGCACTTTACATAATACACGATACCAGATCGATTCGCATGTTGACATTACTAAATCTCTTTCTCAATAAATCAGTACTTCCTGTCTGCAAGAACCAGCAATCTTCGTGTTCTCTGAAGGAAACAACATTTTCAACAAAGTGTCGAAATAACGAATTTCATTCTCGTTAACAATACGTAACATATACCACAAGAATAAATCTTTCAATTGAGATAACACAGACGAACTTCATGAATTTCTTTTCAATAAATCGTAATCCCATTGTACACTTTTCGACGAACGAATCGAGTTCAATACGTTTCATTTAATTACGTAAAATAGTGGTCGTGTATCGTTTTCCTAAACAACCATCGTAGAATAGTCATCAATCTAGATTCAACGAGATTATACTTTCGTTATGTTTCCGTTATGCATGCAAGAGTTGCGTGTTACTCTAACAGAGCGGGCGGACTCGGTTCTAAGAGCGTTTAAGCCGAACCAACGGACACGATTCAGCTAACATTCATACGTGACGATAATCTGAGCGTTTCGCTGGTGAATGCGCGCCTGGCCGTAATTATTATGACTGATACTTTACAAGAAAAGGCAACTTTCACGCGACTTGTCCCGTCGATAAGAAGCTGTTAGCAGAGCGTTTTAATTACGAATGAGATCGGTTATCTTTTACCGTGGCTAGCCGGCTCGCGTTTCCGGCAGAACGGAAAGAAACATGATGCCATCACTCTCTGGCATAACTCATTGGAAGTCCTGTGCGCTTTTTGCGCAGACCAATGTGAAACGAACGACTTCCTTGATGATAGACGCGAACGAAAAACGAACAGATTCATTTTGTGATAAAAAGTATGAGTAATGCGCGAGTTTAAGTATTCAGGCACATTGGTATTTAAGAAAAGTAAGGGAAAAAAGAAGAAAGAATAAGTTCATAGAGGATCGTGCATGATGTTTTTGCGTTAGGGAATGCGAAACGAATAGCTTCCTTGGTTGTGGTATGTATATTTTTTTTTTTTTTACTTCAGACTCACAGCCAAGAAATTTGGACTTGGTTTACATTAATCCTAACTGTACATGGCTAACTTAATCCATACGTTCGCCTCATTTACTCGTTCCATTCGTTCCTCTTTGCCTCATTCCCCTAACTTGTTTCTTTTATTGTTACCCTACTTATCCATCTACTGTTTTCTATTTCTTATCACAGTATTGCACTTCTTTCCATTTTCTTTTTCAACTTTCTCAGATAATTTTCTATATTCTAATCCTTTCTTCCGTTCACTGTATCCTCTATACTAACTCTTCTATCCATTTCTCTACAATTCCTTACTTAGCAATGGAAGTTAAGTAACTCGAAAATTCAAAAAAATTTGGAATTGGAAGCTGACACAATTTGTTTTGAAGAACTGTTATAGATCTCGATGAGTCCCGTAATTTTATGGGATTTTTGTATGAGTAAAAAGAGGACAATTCGTTTATCAGGACAAATGCGCTGCCATTTTTGTATAAAAACTTAGAAATATTATTTGCAAAATATGCTTTTAAAATAGTATTTGATATAAGTTTACTAAACGTTTCGCTCTATATAACAGTACATTTGGATATGTTGTACATGCTTTCTCCAAGTAGAAGATAGGAAAGATATTTAAAAAATATTGATTCGACTAGATTTATCATTTGAACCTCGTTTTCATTAAAATAGTAATGAAACATAAGAATATTTTCTGAAAAAGAAAAATAAGGAAGCTTGAAATAATATTAATTAAATTGTTTGATCATTTCCTTGTACGTAACTTAAAATTCATCTACTATGTCTTTACAATTATTACATTTTTAATATTTTTAAATGTCTATCGACAATTTTATATAATAATAGAGCAATTTACTTTCTCCTCTGCAGCATTTTATCTCTAAAAATTTTTATTTTGTACGTGTCTAAATTTTCTATACTCGATAATTTTAACGATACGCAACTTTATTTTTCAAAAAATTGCAAACCAAAGAAATATTTTAATAATACATCCTTACAATTCAGTCAGACTGATATTTCGTCCTAGATATTTCATTTATTTCCAATTATCCTTCACCCAATCGATAATCGTTATTCTGTTTAAAACAACTATTCTCACGAAACACGATCACGCACAGTGAATTTCAAATTACTATACAAACATTCCCAGAGAATAAGCGTCTTGTACATTAAACGAATTCAAACTATGGCTACAGTGTCGCATCGTTAGAAACGCGGTTTCTAATAACATAGGATGACTCGAGGAGTTTCTCCGCGCGCGGACAGCCCCGGATCTTTTTTTATGTAAACAAGAAATTGTCGCTATTTCGAAGACGATTACAAGGGACAAAACGTGGAAAGCATGTAATTGGAGTTGGCGGCTGTGGACGAAATGACGACTGTCCATCTGGTTACACCTGAAATGCTTTTCAGGTCGGAAGATATAGTCTTTACCGAGCACCAGATTATTTCAGATCGTTTTATCCGTTCAAATGCTACGTTTGCGATCGGCCAGTAAGAGAACATGCCAATCCAAGTTGTCAGTGAAAGCTCGAATCGATTCGAAGTCTGATGCTGGATTATCTTCGGACTGTTCCCTTTGAGAAATACAATACGATGTATTTTATTATTTTATCACGAAAGTGTTCTTCTTTTTCTCTGATCGACAGAAGGAGATTAGATTTGTAGAGAGAAATAAGGATAATCTGTATGCCTATGTTACATCGTATTGTGTTTTATTGTGCCGAGAGTTTCCTTTTTTAAGTTTAGATAGAGATACCATCGTCTTCTTGTAGAAGCAATTATTATTTCATTGTATTTACAAACTCTTATTTAATAATTTAACGATAATTACATTTGATATATACGTGTTTTAATGAATATAAACTGTAATAGTGCAATTTTCTCGCTACAAATACGTTCTGCACTACTGCAAAATGACTGTCTGCTCTTTATTTTGCATATTCCGCCACGTAAAACGTGTTTTAACGAATATAAACTGAAATACTGCTGTATACACGCGACAAACCACCTTATGCAGTACTGTTAGGGATTGGGTTTATGGCACGGCCGTTCTTTCAGGCGACTTTGAATTACACACCTTTCCTTTTCCTTTTTTTTGCCAACTAATTCTTTTTAATCTGTCAGCGAGGCCCAGGAAGCATTTATGGCGGTAGCAACATAAAGTTTCTGCGCGCCACATGACTTCCTGGTGCCCACTCGTGACAATCCGACAAATAGTGCCGTGCCATAAAACCTTCCCCGTCGCCCCGACCGCTCAAGTCCCATTACGAGCGAGCTACCCTTGGACCTCATGCCCCCGCCAACGCGACGTACCACCACCCTGCCAACTGGGACTTCCAGGATGGGCGGTATGCTAGCGGGTCCTGGAGGACTGTCCAAAGGGTAGTCTCGCTCTAATTGGCGCACACCATCACCTCCCACACATCCACTTTCTTATAAATAGCGACACAACACCCTCAAGAGACAGATTATTCTTTTTTGTACAAAGATCGACACGCACACCACACTAAGACCTTGATTACTTTGAAATACAATATTGAAATACGTGAGACAAAGTTTTATCTTCACCAACATCACACCATCCATCGAACCAGCGACAGCATAGCGCCACCACTATCGAACATATTGCTTGTTCGAAGTACAAGACGCAACATATATAATACTTATTATATTATTAGAATTTAACGATAATTAAATTATTTATCATAAGTATGCATAATTTAATTATTATTTTACTTAAAAACATTACCACGAAGAATGCACAACGTTTCATAATACTTCTGACTTTCTTATTTATTTTTTATTTATTAGAAACTGTAATTTTTAAATCATTTAGCTTCCTATTACCTTCAGATAGGATCAATTTCAAATTCTTAGCACGTTTCCTGATTGCAGGTGATGGTATACCCGGAACAATTGTGGTTCGTGTCGGAAACAATCGTCCAGACTTGGGAACGAATCCAATTTGCAATCGTTTCACCGGCCCCCTTGAAGAAGGGCAGCCTCTTTTCCTACCCTGTAATCCGCCTATGCCTGGAGCTTTCGTTTCTGTACACTTGGAAGCGAATACACCGACACCGATTCCAGTACAGCTTTCATTGTGCGAGGCTTTCGTGTATACTGATCAGGTACGATATTCATCAGAGTTACACTCCCGTTCATAAGTATTAGGTCATCCCATAAATTCGTAATTGTATAGTTTAGATCAATGCTTCCAACAAATCTTTAAAGATAAAGAAAAACGTAAGCGCTTTCTCGTTTCACATTTTTGTCGTTTTCTTTTTTTTAGTAAGACCATTATGTCATCGCTACAGAATTTTCTTGGATTTTCATTCAAATATTTTTCGCTTTCGACACGAACTTATGGGATGACCTAATATTAAGGCACTTACTGAATGTGAAGCAAACTTAAACAGTCGTTACAAAATTATTTAGCCTGGAATCTCGTAATATAACGAGTACATACATTTCTGCTGATATGTGGTACTACATCTAGCGAAGAAATGTAATTTAACCCTTTAATTACAGACCACAGAGGCGAGTCGGAATGTTTATTTCACTGTCACAGTTAATTATCACCTCCCTTTTGCCAATACCACGAATATGCGATTCGATACATTACGGAAATTTACAGTTGAATGTAGAATGTGATCTAATAACTCTGGAGACTGAAATTTTTGAAATTTTCTTGCAAATATTAGCGTTTGTTTCGCACTTTTTAACTATGAAATCATTTTTGATTGTCTCCTTTGGCCACACTCAGCCTACTTCATTACCTAAGAAATGAAATTTTGCTATAAAAAACCATAAAAGAAAATCCTAATTTTTTATATGACATTATAAAT